AAAGATGAGCTTTTAACAAAAGGCTTTTGACAGCTGCAGGCTATTTCATTTTTTTTAATGCCGAATGAAAAATCAATACATTTTTCTGGGTTATACATATTCAGAACAGGCCTGATATTTCCATTATAATGGAAAGTGGGTGTCTGTGCACATCTCGCCTGTCAGAGCTGCGCCACGCATTTTCCAAGCCACTGCTAAATATTTCAAACCTGATTTGATTGTGGTTCATGACAGCTAATGTTTCTCAGCTCTTGAGCCTGCCGACAGGCAAACGCACTTTATTTCAACCCCACCCCCAACCTCGCTCCCCCCCAAAGAAAAAGGAAAGAACAATTTCATTCTTCAGGGATCCAGACTGGTGTATTATTTAAGAAACGCGATCGCCTGAGAGCTTTGGGTACAGACACCCTGATAGAAGAATTTCCAAATTTCTTTCACATCGAGGCATTAAGGGGCTTTGTCAGGTTTGGGGGAAGGTTTGAATTAATCTACATTATCCTGTTAAGAGTTCGGAACAGAGGGACTAGTCTTAGTCATTGATTGACTCCCCCTCCTTCAAGTCTGTAAGCGATTTGTAAATACACCCAGAGGACATGGCACTCGGCCCCAGCTATTGGATGAATGGTATCATTTTCTTAGCAACTGGCGAGTTTTCTTGGGTAACACATTCAGGGAGTGTGCGCAGTGGGGTGCGTGCTGGCTTTCTGGCTTCCTGATGATGCTACCTCTATTTTTGCTTCTGCCTGGTGCTCCTTCCCAAAACCGCTTTCCAGGTTGTTCAAGAAATGCTTGCACATCTCCATGGGGTCGCCAGTCGGCACACCCACCTCCTTTGGGAGCAGAGAGAATTCACCACCGATCGGAAATCACGCGCTCATCTTCAACAGCATGCCAGGGTTGTTAAGAGAACAGTTCGCATTTGTGGTCAGCAAAACCTTGAGTGAAGGGAAATTTTCTGGACCTGTGGTATCATCACCCCAACACCTTTGCTGCCCTAGCAACCCTCCCCTTTTAGAATGTATTTTACCTGCTGAGATTCGTACACCTGGCGGCTCTGCCTTAACCGGGAGACATGAGTGACGTGAGCAGGTTGGGTTTGGCTCGAGTGCTGTCTGGGAGAAGCAGTTGTAAAAAGGAGGTGGTGATGGAGATAGATTTTTTAAAGGCCTTCAGCCAGTTTTGCAGTAAGTTGAAGGGACACCAGGAAGACCTCACAGTTATTCAAGATTTGTTTCTATTTCCCCAGCCCTTCAGCATAAAAATACATCCAAGCAGGGGGGTGGAGGGGGCTAGTTTGAGGGCTACTGTGGGGTGTAGCCATCCAAGCAGCTTCTGCGGGGGTCTTAAAGGAACCTCCTCTGTCTGGAATGCACTGGCCTGCTGCCTCCTGCCAAGAGCAGGCCGGGCAGAGGGAGCCGAGATGACCTTCTCACCCCGGGCCTGGCTGAGCCCTCGGAGAGCATTCCTGCTGCATTCTGGTTGGGTTCTGAATATTATTAAACTCTTTGGGGAGAAGATGGTTTTGACTTGTCTATTTCAGTGTAAAAATGGCTTGGTGACTGTTGTATGGGTTAGTGAAGAAACAACTTTGTCTTCTGAAGGAAAGACAGGATTTTCCAGATAAAACCAGATTGTCGGTCCATCAGGTCTTTACTTGTTCCCACCATCTGTCAGTAGCTGATATTATAGAAACAGTATTTACTTCTGTCATGACCCTGGCCATTTGCCACTGACTTCATGGGGGGAAAATGCAATCTTGATCTGTGCGGAGAAACCTCCTCTAGGCTTGGCTGTGCCAGCATGGGTATCAGATACGCATTCCTGAAAGGAACAGGCCAGATAAGCAGCCTGGGAGCTCTGAGTGTGGCCACAGCTCTCTGTGTCAGAGCCAGATGCCATCACATTCCTGGTTCCCACATGTTTCCAGAGCAGGGAGACCAGGCCCCTCCCAGGGTGCCCGAGGCCTGGGTCTTAGTGAGTGAGGTTGCCTTAGGCTTTTGAGGGCAATAAAACATACCCTGCCTGCAAAGCATTGTGAGCCCAAGCCGTCCAGACGAATTCATAGTTTGCATCACTGTTTTTTAATAATTTCTCTACCTTTATTGGTATTCAGAGCTCACCGTTTTCTGGTTACTGACAGCCTGGGCTTTCATCCATTTTAAAGAGCTATTTTTCCTCTTGCTGTTGATGATGATGGTATAAAGACAGATGGTGTAACTGCTTATGAATGTCCTATTTTATTTCCCCAGGACCAGACAGTTCACTCGTATATTACTTCCACATGCTCAGGTTAGGCGGCCCAGACAGTGTCTGCCTCCAGCAGCTAGCTGCCCTTCTAGGCCTGGCCATGCAGAGGGCGACACCTGTAGGGCACAGGTGGAACTGCAAGGAGCTCCTGCCTGGCTGACTGGGACCTGGTTTTTTGGCTGGAGCTGAGGACACTGCTCCCTTGTAAAGGCAGATGGCTTGTCCAGGAGTCCCTTAGGCATTTCTTCTTCCACCAAGCGTATAATAGTCTTTTAGTGAATGACACACAAATGATATTAAATCTAGGAACTCGAAAAGAAGACTTGATTTTTAAATCTTAAAAGGGAGGGGGAAGAAAGAGAAGCAAATCAGCACCTGGATTAGCCTCATTGAGACTCAGCTGCCTTTGCGTTTCTGCTTGGAGTAGGGCGAGGAGGGAAGAAAACAAAAGCCCAAGTAGCTCAGAGAGCAGGGGCTCCAGGAATAGTCACAGAGCACCGTGTGGTTCCTGCTCACTGCATCAGTGATGTGCTTGTTCTTCAGTCTGTCTTCTGAATAGATACGGCCACTCTGGCACTGACCCCAGTTCTTTGGGCCTTTCCAAACATGAGTTTTTAACTCCGCTCAGTGGCCCAGGAGAGAGGCGCTGGCCTTGGACACGGCCCCCCTGTGGGCAGATTCCTTTTCTCTTCCGCAAAGCAGCACCTTCAAACACTGTTCACACCACGTCAGGCGTTCTCCACTTTGGTGGTGTCAGACTGTCCCCATCTTAGGTGATAGTGTGTGTGTGTGTGTGTGTGTGTGTGTCTGGAGAGCAGAGGCCATCGAGCCATCTCTTTGCATAATCTAATTAATCAAATGTACCAGTACCACAGATATTTTGTATCACCAGATGTAAGGGCAAATGAGTAGATTTTAAGAGACCTAGCTGCGTTGGGTAGACCCAGCTTAGTAGTATCAATGGGCTAAATGCTAGCATCACCATTCAAAGATGGATTTTACCATGATAGTGCCGAACAATTTTATCAAATGCCTAAAAATATGCATTGAACATCCTGCCTGAAGATAATTAAGATGGTAAATATATTATACCATGTAACTTGCTTGTTTTTGCTCTACTAGCACCTGTGTGTGTGAGTGTGTGTTTCTCTACTTAATGAAGTATAGTGTTAACGTGGCTCTGTATATCTGATTGACTTCAAACCATGGTTGCTTGATTTTTCTCTATTTGAACTAAGTGTAGGTATGGGGAGAAGATGTTAACTTTATGATACAGTAAGGAAAAAGGAGATGTAGAAATTATACATGGACTCCTCTTAGTTGGAGATGAAAATCATCAGTATCTTATTTCATCCGCGTTCCCTGTGACTGCCTCATAAATCCCCTGTTGGAAGTAATGAAGAAAGAATGTTCCTTGACCCCTAGTTCAGTTTCCAGTCCTTAGACTTCCGTTGTCTCTTCAGGAAGAATTAGGAAGATCTGACTCCAAATAGATACTTCTTCCCTCAAGTGTTTGATAAACTCTCTGAGGTCCGTTTACTCTGAATGCCTTTGACTTCCATCGTGAGATAAAATGTAGAAGCTATTTTCTGGAGGGTTGGAGAGTGTTACACCTTGCAATATTGAAAAGTGGAGTTGCAGTTGGAGGGATGGACCTCGGGTGACACTGGACAGAGCCCCAAATCCACGATCCTAGATTGGACCCTAGTACCATGTCCCTGTGGGTGTGGTCTGGTACCGACCTCAGGGGATGGACATGGGCAGCCAGGAGCTTACGGGCCGGTACCCAGGCAGTTGTGCTCTTCAAAGTGCCCTGCGTGTCGGCATTACCTGCCGTGGTTTGCCAGCCTCATTCGTCCACTAGCCCATTCCTAGTGAGTGTGTTGGATAGCAATCCAAAGGGCCAGGAGAATGAGAGGGACATGTCTCCCCCCCTCCCCCAGCACCTGGAGTGTCTTATCCTCTTCCCCACATGGGCAAGTGGCATTTTACTTTATGATTAACCTGCTGTTGGAAATGACCATTCCTCTACCTTCACTAAAGCATTATGTGTTGAGCTGGAGAAAATTCCCTTGATTAGTTTTAAACCAGCGGTGGGTAATGAATGGAATAACTTCAAAAAGAAAGTGTATGATTCTATTAGTTTTTCCTCCTCCTTGCCACTGACACCTGATGTGCCCACAGATGTCATTTTCTAGAACTCTTCACATTGATGAAATCATATGACCGATATTTTATGACTCTTCAGAGTATGAATGACTATTAAAAAAAACAACCACGTGCACAGGCACCTTGAGGCCTATGGGGGCCAATGCTTGAGTCGAGTCGCATTCAGTGCCAGGACGCACTGGGGTTGGAGCCAGGCAAGAAGCTCCTCTTTTGCACCTTCAAGTGTAAAATTTTGCATTTTCAAGTGTAAAAGACTTGCATGCAACTTCAGGAATTTGGCTGGAGTTATTTCTTCAACAGGATTGGCTTTTCAATAAGAAACACTCAAACGAGGCATTCAGAACCCTCTGGAAAAACATGTCCAGGGCGAGTCCCACTCGCGTGCCAGGTGGCGGGAAGAACAGACCCACTGCTTGCCCAGGCCTCAGCGTAGCCAGTGCAGCCGGCCTCGGCCCACGGGGAGGAGAGGAGGCACGTCATCGTGTCTGTGTCTTGTGGTTGGTAATTCTTTGGAGTAGGAGCCAGGAGTCCTTCATCTTCTGTTGAGTTTTAATCATTGACATTTTTTTTTCCTTCTGTTTCAGAAGAAGCCATTGAAGATGTTGAAGGGCCCAGCGAAGCAGCTGCTGACCCAGAGGAGGTTGCCAAAGACCCGGAGAGTGGAGGCGAGAAGGACCAGAGCAAGTGGACAGGTAGTGTGTGCGGCTGCCCCGGAGCCCCGTGCTCCTCCCGGGACGGGGGAGGCTGCCTGGCAGGGAGCAGATGCATCCTTCAATCCCCCCCGGAAACCTTGGCTCTGCGCACGTTGGAGAATTCTGTTTTTGCTTTTTTTGAGTGGTCACCTTCCTTCTCCTTCTATTCTGTTCTATTAAGGAACTTGTAAAGGTTTTATAATTGGCCCCCAGACAATCTCGTTTACTAGCATCCAGGGGCCTGGCTGTGTTGGGGGCTTCCGTGTTTGTGAGGTCACATTTTTCAGCAGCCCCTCCCTGTTGTTGGCCCTGGATGTGGTTCTTTCTCTGGTTAAGATCGAGGCCCCTATCCCACCTGCTCCATGCCCAGCAGAGGGATTTGCCATGTAGAACCTGATCAGGGTCACCCCAGTCTCGTAAGGAGTCTGTGGTGAAGGGTGGGCTTCGCCCTGCATTTGGGGGCCTGGGTAGGATTCGTGTGCCCTACCCCGTTCCCCAGCGTGAGCACCCACACCTGGAAATGCACCCAGAGGGGAGACAGGCAGTGCAGCCAGGCAAGAGGCCGTCTTACCAAGAGCAGAAGAAATGGAAGAAGTCAGGAAAGGAAGTGCTATTTCTGGAAAAGCTGGCGTTGAGAAAAGGGAACTGGCCATCTCTCATGATGACCGGATTCCTGTACTAAGAGCAGAGACTAAGAAGAAAAGCTTAGGGTTTCTGAGGAGCAAAATCATTTCTGAGAAGACTTATCGGGACAGATAAGTCTCCCAGAAACCACCACAATAATTAGAGGAAATGATATGACAAGCAGCAGAAATTATTGTGCTAAGTCTTACTGCCCCCCATTATTAATATTGTAATATTCAGGATTTTTTTTTTTTTAGAAAATATTTACCTTCTGGAGTCTGTATTGGTTGGGCCTTTGTTACTTTTCCAGGCATGACTGTTCTTAAATCATGTTCAGTGTTGGCCTCCACTCTTTAAACAAGATACAGAATCTTGGAGAGAGGCCAGAGGACAGCAATGAAAATGACTGAAGGCTGAGAAATACTGCCTCTGGGAAGAGGCTGAAGAAATCAGGGCTATTCCGCCTGGAAGAGAGAAACTCGAGAGGGAGATAACAGCTTCCAAAGACAGGGAGGGATGCTGAGAGCGTGGACGGCGCACTAGGCGGACTTTACGTCCACGCTGCGTGTTGTCCCCTTGGAACTGGGCTCTGGGGTGTCCAGGGCCTGAGCTCGAGATAGCGCTGAGGGCCAAGCGTCAGCACCTTGGGGAGGTTTGTAAGGACAGGAAGTAGGGTATGGACGTCTGTGCTCAGAGGCCCTGAGTGTCGGGGAAGGATCATCCTGTGTGGCTTCGCATGGACCAAGACCCCAGTTTTTGCTGTACTATTAAAGCATGATCTAGATCAGCAGTTCTCAACCTGTGGGTCGAGACCCCTTTGGCGGTCGAACGACCCTTTCACAGGGGTCGCCTAAGACCATCCTGCATATCAGATATTTACATTACGATTCAGAACAGTAGCAACATTACAGTTATGAAGCAGCAACGAAAATAATTTTATGGTTGGGTCACAACATGAGGAACTGTATTTAAAGGGCCAGAAGGTTGAGAACCACTGATCTAGACAGACTTTGCAAACAGATAGCAGTTAAACATATCTGCCCGGGGAAGAGGATTTCACAAACTCAGTTTGAAGACTGAGTAACCTTTCAGACAATCTGTCCTTTGTTTTCATGATTTGGGTGCCTGGTTTCAGATCCTGGCTCTGCCACTTACTAGCTCTGTGGCTTTGCTCCAGGTACCTTACCCTTCCCAGGCCTCAGTTTCCTCATATGAGATGGTGATTAAAAACGGGACCCAATTCCACAGGATAGCTGTGTAGATTATTTGAATATGGGAGTCTCAGAGCAGTGCCTCACATATAGTAAGCTCTATAATAGGAAGGTTTTTGGTGTTGTTTTTAAGTTTAATTAAATAAGATTGGGAGAACTAGTCGCAGTTTCTCTTCCAGGCCTCCCATAGGAACGTGAAAGGCGCTAGGCAGCCTGTGGCTTCTGGGGATGTTGAGAAGCTGGGAGGGAACAGTATATAAGGATGTAGTGAGATCATGCAAATGGTCGTTGGTGAATAGTTTCCTGCATTCTGTATGCTAAGGACACTAAGAAAACAACAAGAAGTAATTGCCACTTACAAAGCACCTACTGTGTACCAGACCCCTTGCAGAGTTCTTTGTATATGTTTCTCTAATCCAGGGGTGGGGAACCTTTTTTCTGCCAAGGGCCATTTGGATACTTATAACATCATTCAAGGGCCATACAAAATTATAAACTTAAAAATTAGCCTGCTATAGTTGATCAAACATTTAATTAACTCTTCCCTAATGCCTTGGCAGGGCCAGACCAAATGATTTCACAGGCCTTATACGACCCACGGGCTGGACATTCCCCCCACCCCTTGCTTACACCAGTTCAGGGTAAGCTTGATTGAGGGTGGTTCATTTGAATCACATTCAGGGTGTTTGTGATGCAGTGGAAGTGTGCCTTCACAATGCTATGGACACGCTAGGGAGCCCAGAGCCTCCTAGAAGACTCAAATCGAGCACCGTAAAAATGAACGTCTTTAATAAGACTCCATTTTCTTGTTCGTTCATTCATTCATACAACAGGCTACCCTTTATCTCCAAAACATGGAGACGATCCAGGCAAACAGAGAATGAATGAGTAACTCAGAGGTGCACCTTGTCAGTTGCACAGCAGTAAAGAGAGAAGGGAAAATTTTGTCCCAACTCCCGCAAATGATCCTCTTTTGACCTGGAGCATAATTTTGTCTCTATTGTCTGAGTGTGTAATGACAGGCTTTATTAAAGGACTTGGTCGAGTTGATCTTGGGATCGATGTGGGGGCCAGCCACCTCTTCTGAGCTTGCTTTGGGATCTCCAGCATTTTATGAAAAATGTCTGCGTTTGTTCCATTTACTCCCTAAATTGAGCTGTTCCTATCTGATTAACTGTGATGGGGAGTGCTTCCTCCTGGCAAATAAATAAATAGTGATTTCACAATTTGTACTGCTGATTAGTGGCTGCTCATGATGCAGATTAATAATATTTCAAATGGGCCTGGCTAATTGGCATTTTCTCAGCTACTGATTATGTAGTTTGGGGGGTTTGTGCAGGAATCGGTAATCTTTACTAACATTTTTTAGTTGGCTAGTTTCACATTGCAATGGGATTCCTCGTTTCCTTTTTGGTGTCTCTTAGTGGCCCTCTCTGGGCTCCTTGTATTTAGCAGGTCTTTTTCCTTGAGTGGCAGGAAGACAAGCAAGGTAGTGGTTTGAATCGCGGCAGCGTCAGTCCCCCACGGTCAGTGGCTGGGTCTCTGCCCACATGCCGGACACTGGGTAGAGTTCCACTGATCCACATTCTGTGAGGTTAGAGGCCTCGCCTCCAGGACTGGAACACTCCAGGGGGATTTCGGGACCACCCACCGCCATGAGAACGCTCTTACTGAGACCAGTGCTGCCCATGGAACTTTCTGTGCTGGCAGGAATGCCTTGCGTCTACACTGGACAGTACAGTAGCCACTAGCCACGGATGGCTGCTGAGCACTTGATAGGTGGCTAGTGCCCATGAGAAACTGAATTTTAAATTTTATTTAAATTTAATGAAATTAAATGTAAATAGCCGTGTTTGGCTGGTGGCGAGTCCAGCTATAGATGACAAACCCGAAAGAGTGCAGGCAGGTGTGACTTTCGGGTTATCATGAGGCTACATTAGCTCTAACCCTGCCAGGCACCGCTGGAGTGTTCACACCTGTCGTTCCCCGCAGGTGTGCCCTGAATGGCTCACAAGGACACAGGTGTGCTGTCCCCACAGCCCTTGGTTGGCCGGGTGGGGCGGGGGCCTGCTGGGGCTGCATCAGTTGCAACTTTATCTGTTTTGCCACCCTTTTCTGTGTGTGCCATGATGTGAAAAAGAGTTGGGAAGCATTACTTGATATAGATTCTATACATTATGTCATTGATTCTCACCCTCCCCCCCCCCACTCCATGAAACAGATACAATAAGTAACCAGCCCCCTCTACCCACCATTTCGCAGATGAGTAAACTGAGTCCTGGAGCTCAAACAAGTGGCCCAAGGGCATGCGGACAGGCCCAGATCTGCACACTGGCTCTGCCACTTACTCTGCCTTGGGTGCAGCCCACACCCTCCCCGCTGTGCGCAGCACCTCCGAGAATGGCACAGCTGATCATCTGATCTAGTCTTCACTTCCTCCGAAGCATGAGGAAGGAGCAGCTCTCTCCTCAGTTGTACAGAGGCAGCAGGGTCCCCACAGCCCCTGCGCATTCCAGTTGAGTGAGCCTCGTATAAATCAGAGCTGTGCTCATTCTGAGAGCACATAGGCCAAGCGGCGGAACTCTCTAGATTTGGAGCCATGAAGAGAACAACCTTGGTCAAGGGGCTTGGCCTCCTGGAGCCTTGGGTGCCTCACCTGTAAAATGTGGACGAGAGGCACCCACCAGCCCCGGCCTGGCTTCCGTGGTGGCGAGTGCTGGCACATGGACACGCCCTGTGCACACTCAGGGTCACATCTCCTCGGGGCTTGTGGGCCGGCAGAGGGTGGGCGCAGGGAGGTCCCGTGAAACAAAGCCTCTCCCCTAATGCACAGTCGTTTCCACCGTCCAACTCTGTGGTTTTGTTGTGAAATGTGAGAGTGGTCCCTTGTTCTCTTTAGCGTGTGGATTTGAAAGTGTGTCTTCTAGATTGAAGAGCCCCCAGTGTCAGCCACTGAACAATAATTAATGCAGTGACTGTTCAGTCAATCATTAATTGCTATAAATTAAGTGATATACAATTAATGTGATGCTTTATCACCAATAATTAGGGGAAAAATTGAACTCTTGGCAAAGAATCACAGCAAGATGGTTATTTAAATCCTGAGCCGCTATGATTTCTGGCAACAGAGCACTAAGCCGGGTCTAGTTAAGCTAATTTGAGACA